GAAGGACCCTACGGCTCCTCTGCCATCAGTATCCTCCCTCAGCAACCAGGAATTTCGGGGAATGGAGGATCGCTTCGGGACCTGCGGTGGGGACGAGCGTCGCTGACAGATAAGTGTGGGAGGGACTGTGGGAGAAAAAGGTACTGGGTGGTTTTTACCGGAATGCAGAGAATGTTTTAAAGGAGAACTATGAGGTGAGTGCTTTTCACATAATCATAATAATGAAACTGTCACAGTCGGCACATACCGGCGCTCGCTCACTTCTCGATCCTGTGCCGGCAGAGAGCCGTGACAGGGGAGGGACTGGATTCCCCCCCTCTCCTCTCCGATCCTTCAGCGCTGATTGGCGGAACGGACGGGGGAGGGGGCGGGTACAGCTGAGTCTGCCTCTAGATAGCGCAGAGCCAGCTGACAGTCACGCAGCTGTGCGGATCCAGACATAATTGTCGGGATCCGTTCCGGCTGCGGCATCTCAGTATACCGCGAGCGGTAGCTTTGGGTTACCCTTAGGAGAACTATGGGGAAAAGCCCTAACCCCATAGTTCTCCTTTTAAGGTAAAAAATGCCCAGACCTTAAGGCCTTGTTCACACCAAGCGCAGAGCAGTTGCAGGCCAGATCAAAACTGCGTCCAATGTATTCCAAGGGTATTTTGGGCTCCAGTTCACATAGCAGCGTGCAGGTCCAGAGCAGGTAAAAAAACTGCAGCAGGCCCTATTTTACCTGCTCTGGAACGCATGCAAACACATCCAAATGCCTGGAACGCACTGAAAGCCCATGTTAAACGAAAAAAAAAGACTTTTTTTTAACCCAAAACGGCCCAGAACGCATCAAAAGTGCGGCACAATACGCGGCACAACCCACTGCACTGCGTGTGCAGAAACCTGAGCGGATCTGCTCTGCATTTGGTGTGAACCAGGCCTAAGGCCTGGTTCACACCTGTGCGTTTTACAGCGCGTTCCTACGCTCTGTAAAATGCTCAACATGTGAAAACCAATGATTGCCTATGGGCATGGATCCCACCTGGGCATTTTACAGCGCGTAAAACGCGCATGCTGCAAAACGCCCTACGCCCAAAGAAGTACAGGAGCTTCTTTGGGGCTTATTTGCCGCGCGTTTGGCACGAGTTTTTTTTACCACGAATCGCATATTCGATACGCCTAGGAGTGAACCCAGCCTAATACTACTTTAATGTCACTTTCAGGTAGAGGATGACCTGGTGTAGGAGCCCCAATGCTGGAGTCCTTTTTGAGCTGGCTTTAGATCTCTTGAGATTGATTCAGGTCAGCCCCAGGTTCTTCTTGGGTTAAAGGGTGTTAATGTCATTTCATTCCTATCAGCAACACAATTGTTTTGAAGATAAAGGAATTGGTGATTTGTTGGCTGTAAACCTTGACTTGTTTTCCATGCTGGGTGTCCTAGTGACAGCCATACATAAGGCTTTGTGTGCTCAGGTGTCTCAGCGCTCAGTGCCTATTTCATGTAAACAAAGGTGTAATAAAGTGACACTAAACTCAGGAGTTACATCCTAAAAATGCATTCAAGTACTCTAATAACAGAAATGTATCTTATTTGTGTATCACTCGGCTGTAGATCCTCAAAGCATCGCTGAATTGGTGCCGACGCTGTCCTTCCTTCTGGAGGGGGGCTACTTCTGTTCCTCATGTTCCCTGTATGTGTTGTAACGTAGTCACCGCTCCAAGCTCGCTCCTGTGATGGACTACAATCTCAGTACAAATTAGTAAATTAAACATGAGATTGTAGTCCATCACAGGAGTGAGCTTTGAAAGTGGACTACTTTACAGCACACACAGGGACCATGGGGGATAAAAGTAGCCACCCTCCAGAAGGAAGGACAGTGTCAGTGCCAATTCAGAGATGATTAGAGGATCTACAGCTGAGTGATACACAAATAAGATACATTGTTGTTTATAGCTGACTTGTTTGCATTTTTAAGGTTTAACTCCTGAGGTTAGCGTCACTTTAAGGCATCGTATCCATTTAAAATGGGCAAATGACGAGCTTCAATGCATGAAAAATGTCCTTACTCAATATTTTCCAACACAGCTTACCCCTATGCTCACGGCATTCCCACCTGTGCTTTTGGTGCACAATACTGCTGGTGTTTGTTATTTTTAACTCTATATGTCCACAAAGGTTTGAATGGCTCCTGATTGAATGGGCCACCTTAATGCAATGCATATTAGTGCGTGCCATAGTGCATGTCAATGCTCTGCAAAGGATGACATTAGTGTCAAAGTTGCTGCTTCTTTTATGGTTGTATTTAACACTGAAAAAAAAATCAATAAGGGGGATTCATCAATACTAGAGCAGACTCTGGAGCAGTTGCCCATGGCAACCTGTCAGCATCCACCTTTTTATTTTCTAAGCTTACCTGAACAAACTGAAAAGAGAAGCTGATTGGTTGCCATAGGCCACTGCTCCAGATTCTTCTGCTCCAGGTTTGATCATTTCCCCCCAATGAGTGGTACTACCGGTAGTTAAACTGAATGGGGGGAATGGATCAAACTGGAGCAAACAGAATCTGGAGCAGTTGCCCATGGCAACCAATCAGCATCTCTCTTCAGTTTGCTCAGTTGAGGTTTAAAAATGAGAAAGAGAAGCTGATTGGTTGCCATGCAAATCTGCTCCAGATTTTGTCTGCCCCAGATTTTGATAAGTTCCCCCAATGTTTGTAATACTTGTATGCATGATGACGGTACTGGCTGTGCTGTACACATGGCAGTACTGGTGATTCTGGTTGTAGGAACTGGTGATCTCCCCAAACTGTCATCTGATCGTACACTGTGCAAAGATCGCAGTGATTCATGCACCAGTCACATTGTTTCCAATTGGTGTAGGGTAGTAGCAGCTACTTCACATCACGCAGACTTGATTTTTTAGCGTGGTTTAAGTTAAAAATACATCAGCAGCCATCAAGCAGAATTTAGATTGACACGGCAATATTTCTTATCTCGGCCGTCTCTCAAGCAACAATTAATTATAAACTAGTTCAAATATTACACCAATAATCAGCAAATATTGATCGGCTGACTAGTCATGGAGGGCCGGTGAGTCAGGCGCAGTATCTCGGTGTACATGGAATGAAAGGAGTATTGATCACATTCAGTTGTTCATGTAATGGAGGAGGAGGAGGAAGAGGTGGTGTGTGATGAAATCCGTCTTCCTTTTCCTGGTGTTTGTAGAGAACAGCAGGCGACCTGACGGAGCCAGTGACAGTATGCTAATATCCATACATCATTGCTAGGGGGATCGTTTCCATGGCAACCCAATTCAATCTACTGAAGTGCCGTTGTTACAATGAAATCAGTTTGTTCCCTAAGCTAAAGCTTTGTGATATTTAATAAACCAGCTCTGATGGTCTCTGAGCATTTTGTTTTAAAATGCTTTGTTGTGTTTTACTAGTCAACATTTTTAAAGTGGAATTTTATTTATTAATTGATTTGAGGCAGTGAAGCATCAGTATTTTTATATTTATTGTAATATGGTCATGTCCAGTGGTCAGGTCATGTTGGGGGGCTTCTTTTGGCTTCTTTAGTAAGGTCCCATTCACACAGGACTTTGGCTGGGGATTCTTGCTGCAGGAATCCCAGGTGGGTCCATACAGATGTGGGCGATGTTCCCATTCAAGTTAATGACAGGGTGACGGCAGCTGCATCTGTTATTAGTAGTCTGCTTATAATCATATACGGTACGACTACCTGCGGTTCTGGGTAGATGATTCTCCCTGGATGCACAGATTACGTCCAGGGCAATCCTCTCTCAATTCCCTACCAGAGAGATTATATATGGATATTGGCATGCTGTCACTTCCGTCAAAGGGCACGGTGGCCGCATCTGTACGGGCACACCTGGGATTCCTGCTTTAGAGCCCATTCACACCAGGGCGGTTACGGCGATCTTGCAAGGGAGGTTTTGGGAGTTTTTAATTGCGTTTCAGCGCTGTAACACAATTAAAAACGTCCAATACCGCGTGGTTCCATTGAAACCTGTATGGAAACTGCACTGATCAGCGCGGCAAAAATAGTGCAGGAAGCAATTTGGGCGGTTCGGATCGTGCGGTCGCCTGAACGGTCCCCATAGCAATGTATGGGATCGTTCATGTAGTGCGGCCGAACCGCCCCGGTCTAAATGGGCTCTTAGGTTTTTGCTGCAGGATGTAGGCTACGGCAGTTAAAGAAAGCACCAATGATGTCTAAAGCTCAGTAACTCGATGGTAGCCAATAATTCAGTTTCCAGAAGTCATTTTACTGTGATGCATTTTATTTGGTTATGGACTAGAACACTTTTTGTTTATTGTGTAATCCTGATAGACCTCTGAAGGCTCTTAGTGTGTAAAAGAATTGTATTATATAAGTTTTGCTCAGTTTATATTGGGAATATGTAGCGTTCTATTTCTGTGCAGTGTACCTATGATCACCAGTTCACTCGTGGATAGATGGGGGAGCCCTCCGCACACCTTGCAGCAGTCAAGGCCAATAAAGAAGATGGTGCTCGCAGTAACAATCACGGATGGCGCTGTGCAAACACGAAGAGAAGTAAATCACCAGCACTCAGCGATATAGTTCAATATGTCCATTTATTGGACAAAGACGTCACAATAGTCAGAGCCGGCTCTGACTATTGTGACGTCTTTGTCCAATAAATGGACATATTGAACTATATCGCTGAGTGCTGGTGATTTACTTCTCCTCCCAGTTCACTGACATTGCTGGTTGCCAGGAGCGGAGCTGGATGTTGTGGCTGGCATCCTGCCCAGCTCCTGGCTACCAGTGATGTTGCTGAGCTGGGTGGGATGCCGGACAGAGGTACCATGCATCATTTCAGGAGTGTGCACCTTCCACTCATTTTCTTAGTTTGTTGTTTGCTGACATTTACGTTTTAGCTTGTCGTGGTTAATGAATAATGTATTATTTACTCTCTTGCACACATTCTGCTCTTTCTTCTTATGTCCACCTACATGTGATTGTTTTATTCCCAGGTTGTCTAACTGTAAACGTAGACCGAGATCATGGCCGGACTGGGGCCTCAGAACCTGTTGGCCTATGTGGAAGAGGGCAACATTGCTGTTCTGAAAACTCTGTTGGACAAATGCAAGGATGTGGATGAGAGGAATGAGGTATGTGACTCCCAATATCAATCACAGTTCTATGACAGTTTGTTGACCGTCTTCTAATGCTGCTCAATAAAGGCAAATAAAGCAATAATGACATCTTGTACTAGTGGCAGCCTCATCTGTTTAAGAGTAACATTAAAGAATTGAAATTACATTACATGCAGATATCATGATACGGTTATTATCATCATGTGGTTTTATTTTGTTTGTCCAGTAGATCACCAGCTGCCGTGTGACTATTGATGTTGTCATGCTGTCCCAGTGCTTTTCATTACATTTCTCCCATTGACTTCAAATTGTAAGCCCTTAGGGCCGTGTCACAAAGGCAGTTTGGTTGCTGGTGACATATCTCCCAGCCCAGGTTTGCATTAGGGATCGTTCACACTACTGCTTTGCGATGATGTTCATTTTATCGTATGTTACAGCAGTACATATTAACGCAGGGGTATATGTGCATTATGGTTGCATCTGCAGGAAATGGGATACTAGTTCTCATTAAGGGCACAGTGGATTCAAGATTCAATGAATATTTGTCTTAAAGTACAAGTTCCAAATGCAATCAAATGCTTACTTGTCTGCTTTCTCAAAGTTTGACGCAAAAATAGTCAACAAGTAAATGAAAGGACTCCATAATTGGCACCAGCCTATCAATCTTAAAAATAATAATAATAATAATAGACAGCAGTGTGAAGGATATGGCAATGGGCAGTATGTGCAGGAGAGAAATGCATAGGGTATGATAGTAAGCAGTATGTGCAGGAGAGAAATACATAGGGTATGATAGTAGGCAGTATATGCAGGAGAGAAATGCATAGGGTATAATAGTGGGCAGTATATGCAGGAGAGAAATGCATAGGGTATGAAAGTGGGCAGTATGTGCAGGAGAAAAATGCATAGGGTATGATAGTAGGCAGTATATGCAGGAGAGAAATGCATAGGGTATGATAGTAGGCAGTATATGCAGGAGAGAAATGCATAGGGTATAATAGTGGACAATATATGCAGGAGAGAAATGCATAGGGTATGATAGTAAGCAGTATATGCAGGAAGCAAATTTATAACGTGTGACATTTGGTTGTATGTGCATGATAGAAATTAATAGGGTACGACAGTGGGTGGTATGTGCTGGAGAGAAATGCATAGGATATGACAGCAGGAGTGGAGTGTGGAGGGTATGTTAGCGGGCAGTATGTGCAGGAGAGGAGGGTGGAGGGGATGTTAGCGGGCAGTATGTGCAGGAGAGGAGGGTGGAGGGGATGTTAGCGGGCAGTATGTGCAGGAGAGGAGGGTGGAGGGGATGTTAGCGGGCAGTATGTGCAGGAGAGGAGGGTGGAGGGGATGTTAGCGGGCAGTATGTGCAGGAGAGGAGGGTGGAGGGGATGTTAGCGGGCAGTATGTGCAGGAGAGGAGGGTGGAGGGGATGTTAGCGGGCAGTATGTGCAGGAGAGGAGGGTGGAGGGGATGTTAGCGGGCAGTATGTGCAGGAGAGGAGGGTGGAGGGGATGTTAGCGGGCAGTATGTGCAGGAGAGGAGGGTGGAGGGGATGTTAGCGGGCAGTATGTGCAGGAGAGGAGGGTGGAGGGGATGTTAGCGGGCAGTATGTGCAGGAGAGGAGGGTGGAGGGGATGTTAGCGGGCAGTATGTGCAGGAGAGGAGTGTGGAGGGTATGTTGGCAGGCAGTATGTGCAGGAGAGGAGTGTGGAGGGTGTGACAGTGGGCAGTAGGTGCAGGAGTGGAGTGTGGAGGGTATATTAGCAGGCAGTATGTGCAGGAGA